ACGACTTCTCCTTAATTCAATTATTTTTAAAATTTTTAACTAGAATTCGTCTTCACATTAATTATTTTTAATTATTTTGAGAAAGTTATTCCAGAGTTAGATTATTAGGAAATTATTTATTATTAATTATCACTATTAATTATTAAAACTTTTTGAAAAAAAGTAAAATTTACAAAAATTTTTATCCAAACTTTTGAGAATAATTGAATTTAAAAAAAAAATGTTATTTCAATTTTTAAAAATAATTGAACCCGTTCGAGAAATTTTTTTTAAATTGCATGGAAAATATTTGAATTCCTGGAAGAATTTTATTATTTTTAAAAATAATTGAATTCTTTCGAGGAGTTCAATTAAAATTGGAATAAAGAAATTGAAGACTTATAAAATAAAATACTTTTAAAGTTCGCTTTTCAAAAATCTTTAATGAAATTCTTTAATAAATTTAATTATTTTCAATTCAAATTCACAAAATTTGTATAAATTTGAGAATTCAGTAATAGAACTTTTTTTAAGGTTTAAGTAACTGTAAAAAATTGAACTAAAAGTTCTCAAAAATCTAATTATTTCAGAATTTTAAATAAAAGTATTTAAAACCAAAATATTTTTAAAAATAAATAATTAGTTTTTAATTTTTTATTATCTTTAAAATTAAAACAATTGAAATTTTCAAATTAAATTAAATTTTTAAATTACTTTAGTTTGCGATATTTTGATGGTCTTCAATTTTTTTAAAGTTTCATAGAATTAATTTCTTCACTATAAATAAATTGATATTAAAATCTCTTTTTAAGAAATAGTACCTTTTTTAACGAAGTAAATGTAACTTATTTATAAAAATATTAGATAAATAGTTATATGATGTAAACAAAAGTTTGAAAAAGTATCAATATTCGCGTGAGTCAAAGGCCTGCAAATAAAAAAAAACAATAGTGACAAGAAATGACAGATAATGCCAGTATCGATAATAATCTACTCAAGTCTTAACGATCCATTATTTTTTAAACTTGATAAACTGACTTCTTTTTTTTTTATAAGAAAAGAAAAAAAGAACCGAACCACAATTAAAACCCTTTATAATGAACCAATGACCGAACAGTAGACAAAGTAAAGACCAGATCTAATTAAAATCTTTTCTCCCATTGGATGATAATTCCGTTAAATTATCCGCAAAATTAAAAAAAAAGAATCTCTTTCAATAAGCAAAAAAATGTAAAAATTTTCTCTACCTACGATTTTTAACGAGAATTTTCCCTTCGCTTTTTTGAGGAAATGAATAATGAATACTGAATACAACTCTAATACGAGCAACACATTGACAATTAAGTTATAGAGATATCGTTGAATTGAAACAGGTCACACTTGAAATGCGCCAATTCGTATAAATAATGAATTTGGGGAAGAGGGATTTTTGTTTTGTTTTTTTTTTTTTTAAAGAAAAAGTTGATTTGCTTCATTGAATATAAAGCTCGGAGTAAATTGATGGTTTTAATTTTTCTCTGAATGAAGCCATTTTAGTTCTTTTGTTTATAAAATACAGCTCTGCCATATTTTCGTCAGCTTTTCTTTACCCGCCTCCACTTAATTTACGTACTTTAATTAGTCGAGTCGCCTGGAGCTAGGCCACTTCAAAATTATCGTTCCTCACACAACTTTAACACAGATGAAGGAAAACGACCAAGTTATACGAACAAGAATTTGTAACAGCCCGGCACGCGAGACTTTAAGACAAATATATATATAAAGAAAAATTTTCCGGATCATCCTGAGAAATACAGGAAGACACGTTTCCTTTTTATTACTGCATTTAAATTTTTTTTTTTTTTTGCTTTTGCTCAGTATATGAATGAAAAATATGATTTTACGTTATTGACAGTAAATGTACATTCAGTCGAGAATTGCAAAGACTAATTATTGGACCCACTGTTATTGCCAATATTGACCCAGAACTCGAGGTAAATTTTCGAATTTAAATATTGGACCAATATTCACCCAAGAGTAGAAAAGAAAAAATGTTTATTTTCCTCGCAGCCTACTAATCTATTTAATTGTTTCAAATAAAAATTTTATTTGGCTCATACAATTTTTTTTATTGGCGAAAGTAAATATTTTATTTCAATAAAATAAAATAAAATAAAATAAAAATAATTTGTAAGAATTAAAATTTATTTATAACAAATTTTCTACTATGCTGCCATCTAACGGCATTATAAAATGCTTTGAATTTTAAAATTAATGCATTGAAAATTATTAAATTCTTGAGAAGTATTTATCAAAAAATTACAAAATAATTGAATTCCTTTAAAGTATTTTATCAAGATTTTTTTAAATTATTCAATTCTTGCAGAGAATGTTGTTATTTCAGAAAATAATCGAATTTTTCCAAAAATGATATTAAAATTTTTGTAAATAATTTAATTCTTGATAAGAATTTTAATAAAATGTTAAGAAATAAATAATTTAATTATTTTAATAAATTTATGTAAATCTATGTAAATTTATGTAAAAATTTTTTATAAAATATTATTTTCATGATCAGACGAATAAAATGACAAAATATACATCTTGGACTATTTAAATTGACACTGATCAACAACTTTTACATCTTATTATATAATTTATGTAAATGTTTTGAAAATAGTGCAATTTTTTGAATAATTTGTATTACAGTTTTTGAAAGTAATTGAATTTTAAAAAGAATTTAATTTAAATTTTAAAAAAACCATTTATTAATCATTGTAATTAAGAATTTTAGTATTAAGGGGATTTGAACCTTGATGACGTCACAGTTTGTGCAAAGCATTAGTTTTAAATCTGTGACGTCATCATGGTTCAAATGCCCTTAAAATTTATTTAAAATATTAATAGTAAATTGAATTCTTTTAAAAAATTTAATTCCGTTTTTTATAATAATATTGATTGAAAATTTTAAAAATAATTGAAATTAACAAAGAATTTTATCACAACTTTCAAGAATAACTGAATTTAAAAAAAAATATATTGCAATTTTTAAAAATAAGTTCGAGAAATTTTCTTAAAATTTGCTTTGAAAATAATTGATTTTCTGCAAAGAATTTTTCTATTTATAATACAAAAATAATTGAATTCTTCCAAAAAATCTTATTATTTATAAGAATAATTAATTTCTTCCAAAGAATCATATTATTTATGAGAATAATTGAATTTTAAATTTTTTTTATTTTTTAAAAATAATAAATTAAAATTGTTTTAAAAACAATTAAAAGCCGGCAACAAATTTTATTATTTCTAAAAAATAATAGAATTCTTAATTTCTTAAAAAGTATTTTATTAAATTTTTTTAAAGCATATGAATTCTTTCGAAGAATTTTCTTAAAATTTTTTAAATAATCAAATTTGAGACAATCTAAAATTTTAATTATTTCTAAAAATTAGAAGTGACAGCAATTCTTCTTAAACTCAATTATTTTTTAAATTTTTAGTCTAAAATTCATCTTTAAATACATATCTTTTAAATATTTTGAGAAAGTTATTCCAGAGTTAAATTATTGAAAAACTATTTATTATTAATTATCGTCACTATTAATTATCGTTAGAAATTTTTTAAATTTGATTATTTGTGAAAATAATTGAATTATTTCGAGATATTCTATTAAAATAGCATTGAAAATAATTTAATTGTTCTAAAGAATTTTATTATTTATGAAAATAGTTGAATTTTTGCAAAGAACTTTATTAAAATTTTTTTTTTATTATTAAATTAAATTATTAATTTCTTATTTAAAGAGTTTTATTAAATTTTTCAAAAGTAATTGAAAACTTCCCAAGAATTTTCCTAAAATTTTATAATTATTAAATTTGACAACTTCTGAAATTTAATTATTTCTAAAAATCACTATAAATTTTTCTAAATTCAATTATTTTCTAAAATTTTTAACTGAAATTCGTATTCACATTAATTATTTTTAATTATTTTGAGAAAGTTATTCCAGAGTTAGATTATTAAGAAATTATTTATTATTAATTATCACTAATAATTATTAAAACTTTTTGAAAATAATTAAAATTTACAAAAAATTTTTATCCAAACTTTTGAGAATAATTGAATTTTTTAAAAAAATGTTATTAGAATTTTTTTAAATAATTAAACCCGTTCGAGAAATTTTATTAAAATTTCATGGAAAATAATTGAATTTCTCAGAAGAATTTTATTATTTATAAAAGTATTTGAATTTTACAATTTATGAAAATAATTCAATTGTTTTGAAGAGTTTTATGAAAGTTTTAGAAAATAATTGAATCCTTTCGTGTAATTTTATTACAATGTTTGAAAATATTTGATTTCCTGCGAAAAATGTTAGTAAGTATTTCAAAGCAATTGAATTCTTCCAAAGAAGCTTATAATTGAATTGAATTGAATTGAATTAAACATTGAATAATTGAATTCTTGCAAAAAATTTTTTTTAACTAAAATTTTAATTCTTTCAATTTTATTTTCCTATTCATAATTCTTTTAATTTTGATTCATTTCCTCAAAAAAAAAGACTACTAAACAAAAATGTAAATTTTTGCAAATTTATTCCCCACCAAAAGTGATGATAAATAGTTGAAACCTCCTGCAAAAGAAAATAATAAAGAAAGTCGTACGATTAATTTTCTCCTTTCTTTTTTCATTCTAGTGAGGAATTCCTTTTTTTTTAACCCCGAGAAATGCGAAAGCTCATTTCCTCAAAAACGTTGTTATGCTTTGCAGTCACGGATATGGCGTGAAATCCTCGTGCGTCTCTCGGGTACAAATAGGACTCGTGAGTACTTTGGAAATTGAAGGACCGCCATCCAACTTGTGCATTTACTCGAGCGAGGCAACGAGTGACTATCAAAGCTTGCCGGAAACCCAACATAAGCCTCTAACGACTCTACACCCGTAATTCTAAATCTAGACACATGACATGCAGAAGAAATAACTCTCACACTCACACGCATACACTATATACATAATAAATCATGATTTAGAAAGATCTCACCTGAAGCACTGATTTGTCGTGACTGGCGACGAGGGTTGATGTCGTGCAGGAAGTCGAAGATGAAACGTTACTAATCACAGGAGTTGAAGATGTTAAGGGTGACGAGGGGGCAGGAGAGGCTGCCGACCCCCGACCACTTTCCACTGGTCCAGGTGCTCCTAAACTTTTCTCCAATTCTGCAAAAAGAAAAAAGAAACAATTTTTACTTTCGATTTATACAAAAAAAGTACAATTACAAGGTTGCCAGAAAAGTTATGTTTAAAAATTTTATTTTTTATTTAAACTTAAAAGTTGATTATAAATAATTTAAAATCAACCATAACTTATGTTTGAATTAAATATATTAAATATATTAAATATATTAAATATATTTCAATATATTAAATTAAATATATTATTTCTTTAAATGAACCAAAAAATATGTTTCAATTAAACTTAAATCTGACTGTATGGCAAAGATATTTTGAGTTTGATTTAAAATTTTAAACAAAATATGTTTGAATTAAGTAAACTGTTTTCTCAGTGTAAAGAATATTCTGATTCACTCTAAAAATTATGAGATACTCAAAAAAATGTTCTTCGACACGGAATGATCGCTTTCTTCATGTTTTAGAATAATTAAAGATGACCTAGTGATAAAATCATTATTTTAAAATTTATATTTTATAATATAAGAATATTATTAACTTCTTCAAAATTATTTTCATCATTTCAAGTCAATTATTATTTTCTAAAATTTGAAAATAAACTTTTTCTATACCTAAGTCAATTATTTTTAATAATTTATCAAAAAGTTCTTTGATAATTTTTAAATACAGTTTTTTACAATTCAATTTAACGAAATTTCGATTTGGAAATTCTGCAATTAAAAAATATACATTAGAAAATAAAAACTTGAAATAATTTTAAAATATTTCGATTAAGTTTTCTGAAAAAAAATTGGTTCCATAGAATTTTTAATTAAATGTATGAAATTCAATTATTTACAAAAATTTCAATTATTAGTAACTTCTCCAAAATTCAATTATTATATTTAACTTAAAAGAATCCAATTATTTAGTTATTTAAATATAAACATATAGATGATTTATTAAATAATTAAATGTTTTTTAAAATTGAATTCTTATACATAATTTTATTAACAAATTTTCAAATAATTGAATTCTTTCGACGAATGTTAATTTAATTTTTAAGAATAATTACATTTTTCAAGGAATTTTATTAAAAAATTTAAATAAAATAATTGAAATTCTGCAATGAGTTTTATTATTTTTGAAAATAATTGAATTATTGCGAAGAATTTTATAAAAAAAAAGTCTCAAACAATTGATTTTTTCGAAAAAATTTATGCAAATTTTATTTTGAGTAAAAATAATTGAAAAAAATAATTGAATATTCATGTAGAATTTTGTTAAAATTGTTTTTAAATAATTAAATTCTTTTGGGAAATTTTATTAAAATAATATACATACAAATTATTCAATAAAGCAAAATTTTTGAAAATAATTGAAATTTTCCCTTAAATTTTATTAAAATTTTTGAAAATAATTATTAAATTTTATAACTTTTGAAAATAACTAAATTACTGTAAAGAATGTAATGCCAAAATTTAAAACAATTGATTCTTTCGAAAAAATTTATGTAAATTCTATTTTTAAATAATTGGATTCATGTGAAATTTTTTATTTTCTTTTGAAAATAATAAAATGTTAGTGTCAAATTTTATAAAAATTTTTGTTCAATAATTAAATTCTTTTGGGAAATTTTATTAAAATAAAATATTAAAAACCATTGAATTATAAGAAAAATTTTTGAAAATAATTGAAATTTTGCCATGAATTTTATTAAAATTTTTGAAAATAATTGAATTCTTGTGATGAATACTATTATTTATGAAAATAATTGAATTCTACAATGATTCGTATTGAAATTCCTCAAAATAATTGAATTTTGTCAAAGAATTTTGCTATTTATTTATAAAGATAATTGAAATGTTGACTACAATTTTTTTAGATTGTTTTAAAATTTTAAACAATTGAATTTCAGCGAAGAATTTTAGGAATTTTTAAATTAATTAAATTTTTGTGATGAATATTGTTAGTTTTAAAAATAATTGAATTTTGCAATGGTTTTTTTAAAAAATTTTTTGTAAATAATTGAATTTCTGGAAAGAATTTTGCTATTTATAAAGATAATTGAAATGTTTATGAGAATTTTTAAAATAATTTTTGAATATAATTCAATTTCTAGAAAGAATTTTAATATTTACTAATGAATTCTTTTAAAGAATTGCGTTAAAATTTTTCAAAAAAATACTTCATTAAATGATATTTAAGTAATAACTTTATGGCAGTTCTTCAATAGAATTAAGTAATTTAAAATAAATTATTGTCAGAAATAAAAAAAATTAATGTTTTTTTTAGAATTCGTGGTAATTTCATATGAGGGAAACAAAAAAACAGAAGACATTTAATTTTTCCAGTACTTTTAATAAAAATCCCTGAATTCCCTGATTTTTCTGATCTGTGGCAACCTTGAATTACTACTGAATTTAAGAAGGTCCTTTTTTACACTGAGAAAAAAATTCTATTGAATCAATGAGTAATTTTTTTTCTCACTGTAGTTTCCATTTTTAGATAATAGCCAAATGTCACGAGAATATGTAACATTTTAATGAATAACGCAGATGGTTGTACGCGTAACGCAAGAAAATATGCACAATGGCACTTAATACTAGTTTATACGCAGATTATGCAGCTCACGTTGTCGAGAACTACCCTCCATATTGGGGGAATGATATTTGAAATATAAGCATAGCCCATACGTCGAATACGAAATGCGAAGCTTGTCGATTACTGTTTAGGGCGGATGGAAAAAAATCAATGTACTATATCATCTTCAACTAGACATTTTATAAGAGAAATCCCTAATAAATATTTTTCTCAATAAATTATCTCACATATATATAATAAGGAAACAATAAAACTTTTTCTTCATCGATTCCCGATTATATAAGTTTTTCAACAACTTATTTAATTTTCCCAGAAAAGAATAATCCGTAATACTTTTTCTTCTTCTTTTTTTTCTTTCAAATTTAAATTGTCTACGGTATACTTGAATTATTTTCCAAGCGAGATTAATTTCATTTTAAAGTTAAAAGCGCGCGACATTTAAAAACTTGTTAATTCTTCAAACTTTTATTGATGATGGAGTTTAACTTTCTCTGATATTGCATAAAGTTAAACTACATCAATAAAATGTTTTGAAGAGACCAGAATTGGAAATGCGAAAAGTTTCGCAGAACTTTAAACAAGTTTTCGTATACAGAATATATTTTCGAGTGAGTAGTTTTTCCATTGCAAGTTAACTTGACGAAATAAAAGTTAAAATCAACAATCATATCTATATGTAGATAGTGGAAAAAGAAAAATGATTATTCCAAGATTTTCCCAACACCGAGTGAGAAAAGTCAAATGAGAAGAAAAAAGAAAAAAAAATGTCAACTCTCTTCGATGGATCAAGTTGAGAGAGAGAGAGAGAGAGAGAGAAAAAAAACAAGTTAAGAAAGGTTAAGGAATGGTTTTAAGTTTTCCGAAGAGTGAGATTTAAATATTCTTCTATTGGGAGTAAGTGATGCGACAGATGCAAAAAGAAGTGCAAGACCGGTAAAGTGCCACGAATGAGAATGATAGATTGCACTTCACTACCTACTGACACTCTTAGTATTAAAGGGTAGAAAACTATTGTCGAAGATTCAAACTCATTTTACAATCTTGGCAGACATGCCAAAACCCTACACAATAATATTCCAAAAAGCTTTTTCTAAAGGGATATTTTTTTAACAATGGCATCAATTTATCATTTATAATTTTCGATTTTCCATAGCAAAAAAATTTAAATTAAACATAAAATTGTTTAATTAAAGAATTAAAAATATTTACACATAAGATTTGGATCAAATACATTTTTTTCAAATTAATAAAAAAAATGTATTTGATTTAAATAATTGATTGTCTATTATCAAATAAATATTTACTTGAATCAAACAATTTTTATACTTGAATCAAATAATTTTTACTTAAATCGTACAATTTTTACTTGAATCAAACTTGAATCAAACAACTTTTACTTGAATCAAACAATTTTTACTTGAATCAAATAATTTTTACTTGAATCGAACAATTTTTACTTAAATCAAACAGTTTTTATACCTGAATCAAATAATTTTTACTTGGATCGAACTATTTTTACTTGAATCAAACAATTTTTATACTTTGAATCAAATAAATTTCTTTTTAGTGATGAAACTTAAAATATCTGTGTTATTCAGTCAAAATTTTTTTTAGTTTATTAAAGAGAGAATATAATTATATAATAAAATTCTTTAAAACATAAAAATTTCAATAATAAAAATTTTAATATTTCAAAAAATTACAACTGTAAATTTTAAAATTCAATTATTCTCCAGAATTTTAAAATAAATTTATTCAAAAATTGGGCATTTTTAAAAATTAAATATTTGAATATAAATTATTATTTAATACTAATAATGAATTGAAATTTTCGAAAATATTTGATTTGAAACCTTTTAAAATCTAATTATTTCTAAAATTTTCATTCTTGTTCATCTAAATTCAATTAATTTATAGATTTTTAACTTAAATTCATCTCTAAATTCATTTTTTTAAATTATTTTGAGAAAGTTATTCGAGACACAGTTTTTCTAAAGATATAAAATTCAGACAAAAAACATATTAAAACGTTCCATCTCAACAAATAAAGAATTTTATCAAAATTTAAAAAAAATGGAATTCTGTAGAAAAATTTTCTTAAAATGTAAAAACCAATTGAATTTGAAATCTTCTCGAATTTAATTATTTTAAGAGATTGCTACTACACTTTTCCTAAATTAAATTATTTTCTAGAATTTTTAACTAAAATTTTTCTTTAAATCAAAAAAAAAAAAAAAAATTATTTTTAATTATTTTGAGAAGTTACCTATTTTACAGTTAAATTTTTGAAATACATTATTTAGGTATCATTAATTATCAGTTATAATCACTAAAAATTTTTGAAAATAATTGAATTTACTGGAGAAATTGTATTTAAAATATAATTGAATTTCTGCAAAGAATTTTACTATTACTATAAAAAAATTAATGAATTCTTAATTTCT